TAATTACAGAAGTCTAAAATCTCTTATACTAAAAGTTTAAAAGTTTGATCGGGTTATCATGATAATTTAAGTTGGAAAGAAAATATTTAAAACTGAACTAATTATAATTAATATTGTTCATAATTGAATTAAAAAAACTAATTAACCAAGCTAATTTAATTGATTTGATTTAAATTATCAGTTTCATCAGATGAATTTTATCCATCATAAAAAAATTGCTTAATAGTATGTTTGGATTAAGAATTTTACAAATTCAAGGAATTTTAAATTCTTGGTATTTGAATTACTTTGATTTCAATTTCTATCATTCTTAAAATATTTTGTTTGGATGAGTCAATTCAAATTTTTTAAATTTTAAATTGTTAGGTTGAATATGATAATTTGATTCCATCATAGTAAAATTGATTTTAAAAATATATTTATATATTGAGATTTTTAAATTAAATTTTATAAAAATAAATATTAATCCATTTTTTAATATTTAATAATTTTTAAAATTAATATTAGATAATATTTAATAATTTTTAAAATTAATATAAGATAATATTTAATAATTTTAAAAATATTTTTGAATATCTAATAATTAAAAGAATGAAGAGATAAGATAAAATATATAAGTGAAACAAGAAAAACAAATGAGGAATTTTAAATTCTCCCATTTTTGAGAGAATTTGAAATTATACTATTTTAAAGAATTTCACAAATACTTGGATTTCAAATTCTTTGTAAATTCCTCATCCAAATAAAGCATTTCACCTCAAGAAATTTAAAATTATTCAAATAAATGAATTACCTTATATACATTCCTCGTCCAAACAAACCGTAAACTTTTCCGAAATGCAATTATTCGGGAGATGTGGTAGTCCACGACAGAGGTCGTTAAAATTAATTGATACTAATATTCAGTAGCATGACGAAATATTGGAAACTGAAGTCCATGGCTGAAGCACCAGAGGACCGGTGAATACTCAATTTTATCCGGACTGGCAAACACAAAAAAAAAAGTGTTGTAACCTAGAACGGGCCATTCCAAATTCGGAACGGGCCGTTCCATGTTAGGAAAAAACACAACAACCCTAATTTAGAACGGCCGTTCCAATATGGGAACGGGCCGTTCCAATATGGGAACGGGTCGTTCTAAGTGACAAAAAGGACCAAAAATCCTTATCTGGAACGGGCCGTTCCAAATTTCAGAACGGGCCTTTGCGCATTTAGAACGGGCCGTTGCGCATTTAGAACGGGTAGTTCTGTGTTTAGAACGGGCCGTTCCAGAGTCATATTTTGCTTGTAACGGTATGATCCAGAACGGGCCGTTCGGAACGGGCCGTTCTGGTCAGGTCTGACATCTATAAATAGACGTGTTGGGCACAGTTTTCAGCCCTGGGAAAAATTTCGTCCAGTACTCTTTCAGCATTTAAAATCATCAATAACAGCCCAGCTCAGTATAGCGAGATATATCTATTATAGCTTAACATTATTTTTCAGCATTTACATCTAGTCAGCACAACATATCTATCAATTACATCTCAACTCAGCAATTACAGCATAATTCAACAACTATCAGCATATAATTCAGCTCGACTCAAACAAACAATAAAGTTTAGCATTAGCATCACATATCACAACTCAGCGTTACATCATTAACAACATACCGCACAACACAACTTTTCATCACACGGCATTGGCAACATTAATCAGCATAAACAACATTCAGCACAGCTCAGCTTAATAGTA